CCGTTGTCTCACCGCTGCTGTGGCCGTTGCCGTTGAAGACGAGGGTGTTGCTGTCCTTCACACTGTGACCATTGCCGTTGTCGCCGTTTCCACCACCGCCGCTGCCGCCGCTGTTACCGTTGCCGGAGCTACCGTTACCGTTGCCGGAGCTACCGTTACCGTTGCCGGAGCTACCGTTGACGTTGCCCTGCGAACAAACCGACAAACCAACCACCGCGGCTATCGCAAGGCCAAAGGTTCCATGGATACACACCGCTATAGCATACATACATACATGCATCGACACACACAATACATACATACATACATAGACATACAAACACATATCATACACATACATTACACGTACACACCTGCGAGCCGTTGCCTTGCGATCCGCTCCCGTTTCCATTACCGTTAGATCCGTTGCCGGAGCTTCCGTTCCCATTACCGTTATTACCGTTGTTGGTGTTGGTTGGATTGGACCCTTGGGCTTCCCTGCATAGTCGCCACCCGGGGTCCATCAACGAACCGTTCACAGGGGCACGGGCGGAGCGGGTCGGGGTTGGGGGTTGGGGGAAGGAAAGAGGAGGAAAGAGGAGGAAAGAGGAGAAAAGAGGCGGAAAGAGGAGGGCAACAAGCAGCTCATCCGCAGAAAAAAAGAGACGGCTTTTCAAAGTAGGATAGGATTGGGGTCGGGTTAGGGATAGGGATAAGGGTAGGGGCCTGTCGTACTCTGTACGGCGACCCCGGTCCCCCAGTCCCTCGCCACACAGCTTCCGCCACCTCACCCCTTCCTCCCTCTCCCCCTGCCTCTCTCTCTCTCACTCTCACCCCGCACCTTATCTCGTGATTATGGCACGCAGCTCTCAACCGGCTGTCGCTGCCGTTAGTGTCGGAGCTTCCGCCGCCGCCGCCGCCGCCGCCACCACCTCCCCGCCCCGCCGCCTTCCCACCACCACCGCCGCCGCCGCCGCCGCTGCCGGCTTCTTGCAATGACGGCGAGGTGGGCTCCATGTTGTGGTTATGGTTGTGGTTGTGGGCCAGGTGGTGATGATGGTGGTGGTGGTGGTGGTGGTCCCTCATACCGCTCATGTCGCTGCCGCACGGGGACGCCCCGCGCGCGGCGACCACCTGCAGGGTTGGCAGGTCGGCAGGTTGGCGCGGGGGCAGTGTTTTACGGCGTCGTGACGCGTGTTGTGTTTTGAAGGAAGTCACTGCTACGGCTGCCAATCGGTCCCCCCTACCTCCCCGGGGGGGGAAAGGAAGGAGGGAGCCTTGAATTGGTTGGTTTCGCGACTAACATCCCCCCGTCCCCCGCGGCCATGATGGTGCACTCGCAATTCCTACCAACCTACCTACCTACCTACCTACCAACTTACCTACACACGCTGCTATGGACAGGCGACGGACTTAGGGCTCTTTCCAATGGCCCCCTACACACGCACACACATACATACATATGTACATATATACATAGATACATACATACACAGATACATACGTTTCCAACCCGAGCCGCCTTCCCTCACCTTCTTGTGCTGGTCTCGGAGGAACGCCGCCCCTTGGGCTTCCTTTAGTGACCCGTGGGTCTTAGCACTGGTCTTGGCGCGCAAGCCGCCTCCACCACTGCCCGTCGTACGGGTGCTGTTGCTCAGCGACTTTTTCATCACGCCGTGCACGTGCCCGCCGTGTCCGAGCCCCAGGCCCAGCCCGAGCCCAAGGCCGTGCACGTGCCCGTCCCTGGACGGGACCCCCAGACCCCCGGAGCCGTTGCCGCTACCGCCGCCGCCGGGGCCCCCCGCTACCGCCGCCAGCAAGGCCCGATTTCCGTCCATCATACCTACAGCAACAACAGCAACAACAGAACGACATCGCAGTGCGTTGTGCGGTAGGGGGGTTCACAATCGTCGCATTGTTGAAACCGACACACACATGGGCCGACAAGGAAAGAGAAGAGGAAGAGGAAGAAGAAGGAAACGATAAAAAGGATGGGAAGTGGGAAAGGAAGAAGTGGTTTCGGATCTTAGGGAGGGGGGGCCGGATGACAGAGCGCTGAAGTCCTGGTGCCCGGGGGATCCATCGGTCAGTCCGTAATTTACCTCTACCCCTACCTCCACCTCTACCCCTACCCCTACCTCCACCTCTACCTCCACCTCTACCCCTACCTCTATCTCCACCTCTCCCCCTACCTCCACCTCTACCTCCACCTCCACCTCTACCCCTACCTCAACCCCTACCCCTACCACCCTCATGGCCTCACCTAGCATCTGCCAGTACTGCAGTGTCGGGTTGTTTTCCTGCTGCTGGTCGAGATCCGCCGGCTGAGGCACCGCCGACAGCCACTGCACATAGCCAGCAGGTGTGTAGGAGGTGGTGGGGTGGGGTGCGCGCGTGTGTGGGGGGGGGGAGTATGTGGGGGATGGGGTGGGGGGAAATACACACACATGCATGAGTGCAAGTGACGGCAGTAAGACCATGAGAGCCAAAGCCGGAAGAAGCGCTTCCCCACATCAACTGTGTTTGGGGGGGGGGGTTGTGTGTTTGGGGGGGGGGGTAAGGGAGCGAAAAGGTTAAAGGGCAGCCGGGGCGCGGTCAGTCAAGTGGGAGGGAAGGAAGGAGGATGAGGACGGCTTGTCGTTCTCTAGTTGTATATTTTTGTTGTCGTTCTTGTTATTCTTATTGTTGTAGTTGTTGTTCATCGGCCTGTAACTCAAACAAACAAACAAATACCCCCCACCCCACCCCACCCCACGCCAACCCACCTGGGCACCTACCGGGTCCGTGCCAAGCAGGTTGCTCTGGGCAGCCTGTTCGCGACCACCTCCTCCCACATCCTCGCCCTCGCCCTCGCCCTCCCCGCCGCCATCATCGCCGCCCTCGTCGTCGCCCTCATCCTCATCATCGTCGTCACCGGCGCCGGGCTCTCCGTCTCGCTCCGTTACGACGCTGTTGCCGTCGCTGTTGCCGCGGGACTCCTGACCTCCCCCCCCCACGCCCCGTCCTAGTGCGAGCAGCTCCCCCGCCAACATCATCATCGCGGTGGGGTTCTCGCCGTCGTTGGTGGTGGCGGTGGCCTCGGCCAGTGCCAGAGTCTGCAAACCAATCCAAGGTGTTCGTGACAGGTTGTGTTGGTGGCGATGGAAATGCATTACCTTCTTCCTTTCTTCCCCCCCCCCTCTCTCTCTCTCTATATATATATATATATATATATATATATATTTTTCACATCGTTTTTTGCAAAACATTTGGAGATATTTACTGAAAATATGAGGTGACGTGGAAAAAATGCGGGTCGAGTGCCGGGTGGGGTTGGGGAGTTAGTGGTCTACAAACTGAGAGCGACACACACATACATACGCACGCACGCACACGCATAGAGCTGCTCCCTCTATTTCCACTCGTCAGGTGTTCCATCCACCCTCCCTCCCTCCTTTCACCCACACACACATACCCACACGCACACTCACAAACAGATAAACATTTCCAGTTATAATTTCCACTCCTTTTTCCGAAGACGACTTGTTTTGGTGAAGGTGCTAGTTGACCTCCCCCCCGTTGCGACATCACCTCGCAGCTCAGGCTAAGCTGATTTACACATACATACATACAAAGGGGGCCGCTGGTGAAGCTATACCACCCTGTAACAACATACATACATACATACATACAGATACATACACGCACCTGCTGTTGCTGGGATCGTTCCGAGCTGTGGTGCCGATGGTGGTGGTGGTGATGGTGGTGGTGATGATGGTGTGTCGGGTGGTGGTGGTGGCGGCCCCGGTCCGCAGCGGCAGCGGCAGCAGCAGCGGCGGCGGCGGGAGATATCATCCAGGGAGGGGCGTCCCGCGGGCCGGACCAGGCGTGCTCTTCAAGGCAACCCTCCGTACCGGTGTGGCTGGCGCCGCCTCCGCCTCCGCCGCCGCCTCCGCGGTGTGGCGGTGCAATGCCGCCCACGACGCTCCCGTTGGCGGTGCCAGTCCCATTACCGTTGCTGACAGCACCTCCCCAGGGTATGGTCTGTGCGGACAGTTGGGAGTTGACAGTTGTACGGATCCATGCCAATCCATGTCAACGATTTGTCAAAATATTGCTGATAGCTGTCCGGAGAGGTTGCGGCAGGGCGTTGGTGCTGTACAGTGTACGGCGTACGGCATTTAGATAAGAGAAATGGCCGTGCTACATTTTGTGCAAACAAGCATACGTGTTGCAAGCAAAGCAAGCGGGATACCTGTTTGTGGTACGGAAACATATAAGATGGTTTATAATCCACTTCCTGTCCGTAAGCCCTTAGAACTTTGTGGCTTAGGAACCCCGTAAGCCACGAAACCCCATAGTCGCACCCCCAATAGCTCCCGCCCCCCCGTCCGGCCCCACTCCCAGCTCCCCCCGGGGCCCTCCCCACCTCCAATGCGGGGTTCTGTAGGGTGATCTGGGCCAGGAGCGACGGTGGTAGACCGAAAAATGGAAAGCCCTGAGGGGGATGCGACTGAGGAAGGGCGGGTGGAAGTGGGTGAGTGGTAGTACATACATACATATCTTGTTTGTTTGTTTGTTTTCCTCCCTTAGGATCCCGTTTTCGTTGGTGGTGTTTTGGGGGGTTGTTTCAGAGAGCCTTTGACTTTGCCCTAGCTTAGACTTGTGGACTCGCTCTAGCGGGACCTGAGAACCCTTCGTGGTGTTTTCACTGCAGCGCCATCCCCGGATGGAGGGGCTGCGGAGTGGCTGCGTAGAGTGTTGGCAGTCTGAGTCGGGGTCGGGAGCACACAAGACTAACCGACTTGTGCTGTGTGCTCCCGACCCTTGCGCTGTGTTTCGGCTTCGGCCCCCGGCTCTCGCAGCCCACAGTGTAATCTAAGTCATACATATACATATACACATACATACATACATACATACATACATACATACATACATACATACATACATACATACATACATACATACATACATATATATACATACATACATACATACATACGCGCTAACTGAGCACACAGATCGTGGTACAGATATACCTGGAGATGTGCTTGGACTTGCTGTCCCGCCGCCGCCACCACCGCCGCCGCCGCTGCTGCCGCTGCCGCCGACGCCGCGGCCGCCACTGCCGCCACCGTCGCGTCCGTCACCTCTGCATGATGGGCCGATTGCTGCCTATCCTGTAGCAGCTGGTGCTGCTGCTGCTGCTGGTGCTGCGACTTCACCGCCGCCGCAGCCACCGCAGCGGCGGCCACAGGCGTCAACGGCTGCGCGGCCTGAAATGCCAGGTGCAGGTGTTGAAGGCCGGCAATCGGGGGTGGTAACGTTAACAACTGTTGTGCGGAACGCGGCGGCGGCGCCGGCACAGATAACTTGGATTGTTGTTGACAGTTGCCGGCAACAGCGGTGGAGCCGCCGCCCCCGCCGCCGCCAGTGGCGCCGCCGCCGCCGCCGCCGCCAAGGGTCGTCACCGTCGTCGTACCACCGCCGTTGACGCCGCTGGCGTCGGCGGCGGCGCTGCCGCTGTTCTCGGGCAGCGCTGACTCCTTCCTTGGGTACGGCCTAGAGGGCTTGCGCTTGGGCCGCGGTGGCGGGATGCTGATGGCGATGCCCTCGCCTGCAGGCGACAACGTAGCACACACGAGCAGCCGCATAGCACCGGCGGAGGGTCTATTGCGCGATACTTTGACGGAGATACATTACAAAATTACAATTACATACATAAATATATACATACATACATGCAGAAAAACGACAATCTCTGGACGGGGGGGAGAGAGAGAAAGAGTGGGGAGGGAAGAGAAAAGAGAGGAAAAGGGAGAACGATGGAAGGCACCACCTGCACGAATATGCCCGCGAACGCCGGAAGGCCTTGCAATTATTGGCGTTACAGCCCTAACTTAGGGTTTAATAACCAAGCCGGCGGTGACCCAGATCGGATAGACCCAAGGGGGGGGGTCCCAAGGGCCTCTTAGGGTTATAATCGGCACGCGGCAATGCCAACGAGCTGCCTCGGCGCAACTGTGCGACCCCTGAAGCGGAGGCTGGTGGTCTCTAATGGAGGGAATGTGCCCCGCCAGGTTGGATGTTGGTTCCTGTCCCTGTCCCTGCTGCTGCTGTTGTTACTGGTGCTGTTGTTACTGCTACTGCTACTGCTGCTACTGCAACTTCTATGGCCACTGCGCATGGCGGTTAACGTCTATCAGCCGACGTCTATCAGCGGATGCCGGCCGTGTGGGAAAGGGGCGAGGGCAGGGCAAGAAACCGCGGCGGGGGAAAAGGTGCGCATGAGCCATGTAAGGAGGGTAGGCAGGATGATTGAGCGGGCTTGGCACACAAGCTCCGCGATCCGTACGGCGGCCCGTCTGCGGCCAAGAAGGCACTATCTCTTTCCACTGAGAGGCTCAGGTTCTGCACTTCACAGAATTGGAAGAATGAATGCAAAAATTGGCCCCATACAGGGCAGTTGTAAGACGCGAGCGCTCTGACCCTAGAGCGGGCGCATGGTATTGCGGCTCACCATCCTCAGCTGGTGGATTCCGCTCGAGCTTGTTAATAAACTTCTGCGCGTGGCTTCTGATCTGTACCGCTGTCTTGGTGCTCACGTGTTCTGGTGGGAGAAGGAAAAGAGTCAATTGGGGCGAAATAGGGCAGGGCAAAATTGCGTCTGTGTCGAGCCGTTGGTTGGTGTGAGACCCCGAAAGCACAAGTTAACCGCAAGCCTAAAACTGTCGACCCGGCGCAAGCTTGGCGCATAAAAAAATTCCACGTCTTCTAAAACGTTTGGGATACGCATGGGCACATTTAACGCTGTAATGCCTCTCACGTATGTCCATCCTCACCCTCGATTTTCCGCCATGCTCGCCCATACAGTTTCAAAGCCTCCAGGAACTTTGCGTGCTCCTCATCAGTCCACTTCTCCCGCTGCTTTGTAATGATGTAAGGCTTCCGAGCCTGGGGTCATGGCGTATTAACTCTTGTTGTGATAGACCAACGCGGCACGAACGGAAAGCTTTTCTAGCCGGCCTAGCACGCGCTCCTCAAGGCCACAGCAACGCATTGAGAAGTCTTCCCGTCTGGGATCAGCAGGCAGCTTACCCAAGAATGCTTCCAACATCTGAGCTCGCCAACGACCGTGCAGGCTGAGCGCGGCCCGTGCGCGATGCAACGCTTACCGCATTTTTCGGCCCCGTTAAGGACGCACCTTTGGCTTTGGGGCTTCGTGGTCCTGGGGCTGCTGGCCTGAGGTGCTTGGAGCGCTTGGCGGCCCCCCAAGCTGCTGAGATTGCATAGGTTGCAGCGCTTGGAGGCCTGGCTTCGGGCCGTTAGCCTCCTCCATCGTGTCTGAAGCTCATAGCGAGTCGTGTAAGTCTTGCGTTGAGGGATTGTCTGCAAACTCAAAGGAAAACTTGCTTTTGGGTGCTTTGACGGATACCGTTGTGTTCGTTTTAGGCTGCGTAAGCTCGTTAACAAAGTGTTGTTTGAAGCGCTTCGCGCAACTTCAGCCGCAGAGCGTGTTAGGGGATTCATTTTTGGCCAATTGGCTGGCAGTGTGGGACGATAGAGAATAAGATTTTGCCATATTTGTTTGCGCCGTACGCTCGGCCGCAACCAGATTGCAATCTAGTTGATCGCAATCGTCCAAAGGAGTACTTTAAACGAGGCCTTCTCCTGCTGCACAAGCTGTGAATAATAACCAATCCTTCTTCTGAACAATAGTTAGCGACTGTAGTCAAGTTTTGCGTTTCGATTTGCCAAACTCGTACATTCTAAAAGAGGCAGCTTCTTTAGAGCACCTGATAACTCAATATATATAAGCGATAAAGCTGCTATCATCAAGCGCGACTTCAATTTCAGCAAAGGTCGAAGAGCGCTGAGCTCTTGTGGTACATGATGACGCTGGCAATGACAGCCCAAATCTGGTGATGTAACCTGGCGTGATATGCTAACATCGATCCGTTTCTTTTTACATTCTTATCCCTGATTTACATCTGCTGGTTGAGAAGCTAAAGTAAACCTGAAGCAATGTTAGTCCTCCTAGCTGCAGCGGGCAATGGCACTGTCACGTGGCAGTTTGAGCCTCTTCTGTGTTCCCATAAGTGCACAAAAGAGATAAGCTTCTCTTGGCTCAGCGTTGGACAATCCCATTACGGTATATGCGAGAGATGGCTATGCAAGGAAAAGGGATGTCACGCGCCTTGACTGACCAGCCCTGAACTATATTACAAGAGACGCGAGCAATCATGAATCCTTTGCAGTAGTCATCCTGGGACCCCAAAGCTCCAAGCGGTCTCAACCGATAGGGAGGGAGCCCAACCGACGTAAGCTTTCGCTGCGCAGTCCAGAACCTGCCCGGGGCGCTTTGTCAAACCAGAAACAATCGCCCCTAATCACGCCGTTTGACAATCACGTCGCTCATGTCGCCAGTCACCCGGATCCATGTCGCGTTATGTCAGCCGTCTTGCGGCCCAACAATATTGCCGCTTGGCGAATGCACATCTCCTAACCCACTCGAGTCACTCTTATAAAGGTTCAAAGGTTCCGGTTCCATGGACGCGTCCTCGCCCCTGTGGGGACGCGTCATCTGCCCCACCACGCACCTCCATCCAGCCCTTTCGGACCGGGCCAATGCCCAACGCTATCGGGAACGTGCTGCTACCCGCTGCCTCTTTCATACATACATACATAGATACAAACGCCGTACAATCTGTTTGAAAAGTAAGATCAACAAAGCTGTTGATTACCAGTGTCCTTACATGTGCTGACCAAGCGCGAGTCCTTAGTACCCGTGTATGTATGTCTGGCCCCCTGTGTGGGTTTTCCCCACGGGAGAAAAGAGTCCCCGTCTACCCTCCCTCCCCAAAAATCACTTCCCCAACCCCCACCCACCCACCTCCATTTCCCCCCCCCCCCTTGTGACTACACCGACGGCCCCACAACCACCGACTCCCCACCCCGTGTCTTGTCTCGTCTTCCTCTCCTACCCCCCCGACCCCCCCTTTCTAATGCGCTGAAGCCCCTTGAGATTCCTCTGCTTCGTGCTTCGTGCGTCACTTTATTTCCGCTCTCCACCATCCCCCAGCTCCCCAACCCATAGGGTCATGAATGTAGAGACAAACACACACACACATACACACACATACATACACATACACGGGGGCCTATCACATGAAGTCGTCTTCAAGCTCCTCCACAGAGGTGTACTTGTCCTTCAGGTCCTTGTTACTGACCATGAACTCATCCTGAGGCAGGAAGGACAACGGCCCCGCCGTGGGCCGAGAGAACGGCGTCAGGGGGTGTGGGAGTGTGGGGTAAGGGGCGGACACGTGGTTGGATGGGGGCAGGAGGAGCAAGGAAAGCGCTGGCAAAGGGAAATATCAAGGGAAATATGAGCGAGGGGTCAAGCTGGGGTCGCTGAGGGCCGGCGGGAGGAGGAGGAGGAGGAGGAGGAGCCCCCGGGGGAGAGAGGGGCAGCACCCGTGGGGTATCACCCATACAGCCCGTCCGTCTGTCTGTTTGTCCGTCCGCCTGTTTGTCCGTCCGTCTTTTGTGCGTCTGTCTGTTTGTCCGTCCATCCACCCAGTGTCCTGCCACCCCACCTCCTTCCCCTACCCTCCTCACCTTCATGATGTGTTTGTAGCTCTTGAGGTCTTCCTGCTTCTTGCGCTCCTCCCGGGCGGCCTTCTCCACGGCCCGAGCAGCTCGCTCGCCAGCACGGCGAGCCTGACGCACCTGCATACATACATACATACATACCTTCAAGCAACATACAAGGTCAGGCACTACTGGTAAGGCACGCACCAATGTCCCCAGAAATTCCGGGATCGAGACCTGTCAAGGTCGAAAATCCTTCCGAGCGTGGAAGGTAAAGTGCCCCTAGTCGATGGACGATGGTGACCTGGGATAAAGTTAACCTGCGAGCTGACCAGGAATGGAGTTGGGCCGCCGTCGATCCGGCAGATGCCGGTGGTGGGTGCAGAACCTAAGCGATCCACTGAGAAGTTGGCTAGGGTGACTAGATGAGGGTGCCCCGAAATACCGGGGAAGGCCGGGTCTGCCGGGTAGCGGCCGCAGGGTGAAGATCTGACCCCCCTGTCCCACACATCATATACACACATTCACACAGACGCATCGCATACATACAAGCACATACACACAGGCACGTTTGTTTGTAGGTGCGTTTGTATGTGTATGTGTAGGCAGCACACAGCAGCCACCCTCCCCCCCGTCGTGGTTCGTTTTTCCCCCCGCCAGCCATCCAATCACGCGACATACACCCGACACGGACGGCCCGATATACACACACACACATGTGCTGCTCACCGTGCCCAAAACCCATTCCCTACCCTTTCCCCCACACCCCCATACCCCGACACCCCACCGCCCGCCCCACGCCATCCCCCCACCTACCTGCGACATGTACACCTCCTTTTCCGCCGCAAGATCAGGGTACCGCTCCTGCCGCGTCTTTTCCAATCGGTTTATGATCTCGTTATTCTTCCTCTCCACCTTCACCTTGAACACCAGGGACTGGTCATAAAAGCCTACCTGGTCCGCGGCAGTAGGCATGTGTAGCCGTACACATACATAAGTGCAGATACAGGCATACATACATACATACATACATACATACACACACACGTGTAACACGGTGCTCCACCTCCGGGCCCAGATCAGTATCCCTTCCCCAACACACATACATACATACATACATACATACATACATACATGCATACACATACATAGGCAGGCGGCTGGCAGAGGGTAAGGCCTGACTTCTGCTCCCGGCCGACCCGGGTTCAAATCCGACTGCCAACTCCTCGGGTGTTTGAGAGTGATGAAATGGGAGGTGGCCCCCCATCTTGTGGACGATGTAGGACGTGATAAAATCAACTTGCGGGCTGACCAGGAACTAAGTTGATGCGCCGTTGATCCGCTAGATTTGGTTGGATGCTGGTGGTGAGTTGCCGAACCCAACGAATACATTCTGAAGTCGGATGGGGTGACGGATTAGGGTGCCCCTCTAGCAGGGGAGAGCAGGGACTGCCCCGGGAAAGGGGGCCGCTGGCGAAGTTAACCACCCTGTAACAACATACATACACACGCGCCCACCTGGCCCACATCCATGCCCGCCGTCTTCTTCAGGTTGCTCCAGGGGGTGTACACGATGGTCACGTTGTTGGTCTTGCAGCCTAGCAGGCCCAGTGGGCGTGTGTGTGTGTGTGTGTGGAGGGGCGGGGCCGGGTGGGGGGTGGGTGGGATTACATTGGGGGCAGAGGGCCCCCTCCTCCTGCCCTTGCATGTGCTGCCCTGTCCCGCTGCTCTCCGCTCCCTCCGCCTCCCGTTTCCCTCTTTCCCCCCACCGCCTATGGTATCTCCCGCCGCCAACCATGTGCTCAGCCCCTCCCCCCCCCCTCCTAGCGCAGCTCCCCTTCGGGACCCCTTCCCCCTTTTGTGCCGCCCTCCCACTTGTACCCCACCTCCTGTTGAACCTTATAACCTTTTTCATGTATATAATCCCCTGTACCCGTCTCCCGTCCCCCTTTCCGCGCCCTTTCCTGCTCACTTTCCGCACTTTATTTTAATCTTGGCGGCTAGGTAGGTAGTTTTCTTCCGCTATCGTCACGACTAGATTGTCGCGAGGACTTGTCCTTTACAAGCGCCGACTGGTTAGTTATGCCGCCTTTAAAACTTCTGGTGCACGTCAGTCTTTCCTTGGCATCATCAGCTTCACTCGCTCATCTCCCCCCGCCCCCTCCCCCCCCTCTCCCCCTCCGCCTCCCCCTCCCCC